TTTTTTTTTTTTTTAGCTGAGCCATCCTGCTACCTATTGGCAGCTTAGCTCGGGCCGGGCATCGAACCGCTGTTGCTCAGAGCTCAAACTCTTGAGCGAGCTCTTAACCAACTAAGCCACTCAGCCGGCCATGACAACTCTTTTATTCTGTGGCGTTGATTATAAGATTTGAGCTTCGCTCAATCCCTTGATGGGGAGATTGTGGGTAATACTGGTCCGGCTTTACAGCCAGGGAAGCCTTGGCTCAAAGAGATGGGGGTGGTTGCTCGCGAAAACGTCGACGCCACAATTTGCCTAAAAGTTGATTGGGCTTTAGTTTCCCTGTCTGTGAAATGGGAAGAACAGCCTATTCCCCACCCCCACCCCCATCCCGTCCTGACACCTCCAGCCCTCAGGGAATTCGTGTCCACAGTGCCTCTTCCCTCCAGGCGTCTGTGCCCCGGACCCGCCGGGTCAGGGTTGGGGCGCGGGCTCTGGGAGTGTCCCTTCCCCGCTTAGTTAGTCCAAGAGCTTTGGCATAAGGGCTGCGACTGCCAAGGCCAGGGAACCGGTTCTGTCTGTTTTTGTTTCCTTCCCTAGGGGCTTCGCCGTAGACGTGAACCTGGAGCTCTGCCCGCCCAGACTGGCCCACGCCGCCCCTGCTCGCCAACTCTCACCTCCACCTCCGGAGAAAGGCTCGGCCTCCTCAGCCTGACTGCCTGCCCTGCGATCTCTACCTTGCCCCTTGAGAGTAGCCTCTAGAGGATGCACTTTGTGTGAGTGACTACCAGTGCGGTTTTTCCAGGGGTCCCCAAAGCTCTCCAGGAGTGATCACCACAACCCCCACCCACTCCAGGCCAGCTCAGCCTGGATCCTGGTGTGCCGCGGCAGGGGGTCAGAGCCTAACTGTAAATCTGCTTGTATCCCTCCATCAAAGAGAGGAGTTGCTGGCCTCCTCCGGAAGTGACTGGTCCCTCTAATCCTTCACACTGACCACACCTCCTGTCCCACAAAGGTGGCCCGGAACCAGCAGCTGGGAGCTTGACTGCTTACTGAGGCCGGGGGACCCAAGAAACAGGATCCTGCCGCGGGGCGCGTAGCGCTCCTTCTCTGTTTTCCTCAAGCTTTCCTCGATGGGAAAAGAAGTGTAAATTGAGTCACTAAGCACACTGGGCCCTGGAAGCGGGGTCAGTGCGCGGCCGTGAGCTAAGCAAACAAACCCCCAGGAGAACTTCTTGCTACCTTCCCTGCCCCCGCCCCGCTACGCGACTCACTCACGTTGGCTGGGCGGGCCTAGGGAGCCCATGGGCTGGATGGGCGGAGCCGGCGGATGGATGCAGGTTAGGCCCCTGCCATCTCGTTGGGCGGGGCTTCCGAGAGCTAGGCTGAAGAGACCTCCTGGAGCAGGAGCTGGCAAGCGGAGTAAAGAGGCAGAGGGACGCTAAATAGGGTTGCCCCCAATCCCCAAAGCGTCTGTGTCTGGGAGAGACGAAGCGAGCCTGAATGGGTCTGTCCGGTCCGGTGGGGACACTGGGAGCGAGGCCCGGTGCCAGAAAAGGCATGAGGGAGTGGCAGGGGCAGGGTGGGCTGCGACTCAAGGGGCGCTAGTGGGTCACAAGCAGAACCTAGGGAAGGTAAAGTCCCGCCCCTGCCCCTCCCCTCCCCCCCCACGCGGAATCTGTAGTCCGCCAGCTCTGCGTCTCCGGGACTGCTCTACCCGGGCTCGTCTCGCCCGGGCGTTCCCAGTCTGAGCGAGGCCACTTGCACTCTGAATCACCAAGTACGAGCCCTTTCCAGCCGGATTGCAGGCACTACCCGCTCCGGGCCCACCTCCGCCCTCCCCAGGCCCTTTCGGGGCGCAGCTCAGCCGGCCTGGGAAAACTCGTAGAGGGGTTCCCACGGCAGGACGCCCACCGGAGCGCAGGGTCTTGGGCTGGGTGGGGAGGAGACCCGGGCCTCGGCTCCTTCCCCGACCCTGGAGGAGAGAAGAGAATGGGAGGAATGCGGGGAGGATCCCTGGAGCGCAAGGACGGACCTGTCGCCAGGAGGTGCCCTGCGTCCATTGCCCCAGCGACGCGAGTCACAGTGGCGCCAACGCCGGGATCGGCGCGCTGGGGCTCATCCTGCGTTCGGATGGGGAGTCGCCCTTAACCTTCCCCGCCCTCCCGGTGGTGGTGGGGGAAATTCGTCCCGAGCGGCCTCCTCCCGGGACTACGCAGCTTCCATCCCAGCGCGGTGCGAACGGGAGCAGGCGCGCGGTGCTCCCGGGTAAGGACACGCCACCTGCGGTACCCCCATCCCACCCCCGGCTCAGCACCCCCTCTCCCGGTCCGGCCTGGCTTTGGCACCTCGGGGTGTCCACTCGCTAGCCTCGCCTCCACTTGTCCCGGCAGGCGCGCGTGGGCTCGGCGTCCGGCTCTCCCTCCTCCACCGCCCAGCTCCGGCGCTGCCGGGTTTCCTGTTCAACAATATAGCGAGGGAGGCACCAGCGGAGAGCACCCGGCAGAACTTCCTCCCGGGCAGGGGCTGGGCTGCGGCTGGGAGAGACAATCCCCGGTGTCCTGGCTTCCTGTCCCCTCTGGGCCGGGCCAGCGCCTCGGGAGCAGAGACGCCACCCCCTCCCCCCCGCACCTCCCAGGATCCAGGGCCACACCTGGCTATCTCCAGGGAGGTGGAGGCAGCAGGACCTGGATGGTGGGATCATGGGAGGAGGGAGCCTCCTCCTCACCAACTTCTGGCCAGATTTCCCTCCCACTGCTTGATCTCCACCCCCTTCTTGATCCTAGTGGGGGAGGAGGGCCACCCTCCAATTTGCCTATAGGGTAAGATCAGAGCAACCTCCTGGGCTGGACTCAAGAGCCTCATCTGCACCCGTTTTGTTTCCAGTAAACTGGGGACAGTAACACCTACTTCACAGAATTGTTGGGGAGATTAAATGAGATGCACCAAGAACAATGTTATTTTCATATAACAACACAGTATATTATGATTATCATTAATTATGAGATGAGCCGTCCTCCTCGTTGGGGTTGGATTGAGGTCTCCAAACCTTCCATCCTCCTTTAGGCAGGAGGTTCTCGAGAAGCGGGAAACAAGTGTCCTCACAGGCACTTGGCTGAGGATGGAGGCACTGAGTCCAGAGGCAGGTCACTGGTCCCTAGGCCTCTGGTGGGCCTGCCTCCCCCAGGCCCTCAGACCAAGTTCCTCTGCGGGAGGCCTTTGAAGGAAGCGGGGCTCACAGGACTGGCCGAGGGTGCTTCCTTATAGGCTGAAGGAACAGGAAACTGCCGACTGGAATGTCTTTTTCAGTCCCATTTCCCTGCAACCTGATTTCCCTGGGAATTAGTCTGGTTTCTTCTTCTGTCCTTACAATGAGCACTGGTGGGCTTCCCCCTGCAGGGGTCTCCTGGGCTTCTCCTGGATTCAGAGGAAGGTCTGCAGCCAAGTAAAAGCCACTTTGAGACCTATAGCAGGGGCCCCGCTCAAACAGCCTGTCCTGGAGCCCCTTCTCTCTCAACCCAACGGGAAACACAAACCTGAGGTTGTACATAGTCCAGTGTCAGGGGCCTAACGCACAGGGAAGAAGCCATCATGATGGGATTTCGGGCATCAGCTTCAGTTGTTGTATACCAGTGTCTGTGAGTAAACCTCCCAGAGGCCTGGAAATCTGACTCCATGGGGGGCTCTGCCTCCCTGGAGTGGCAAGGGTGGGGTATAGACTACACCTGTTCCTTCCTCTCTCCTCCATGCCCACTGCTGGCACACAAGCCCCTAGCTTGCAAATGTTCCACCCATCACACACACTCTCCCCTGCGCCTAGGGACTAATAGGACAGTGGAAGCCTCATCAGAGGTTAATGAACGGACCTGTGGTTTCCCCCAATTAGGGGCAGCATTAGAATTCAGAAGCCAGACCAGTGATTAGAAAGATCAGGTCTTTACTGTACAATCATTCAAAAATCACCCAACAGCAGGTCCTTATATATATTGCAAAGCACTTCTCAGGGTCAAGGCCCCTCACTGCAAACAGTTTATTGCATAACACGACATTTTAAAAATAGTGTGGTCACTGCTGAGGTTCACCTCAGCTTTCCATCGGAGGTGAGGGGGTTAAAGTCAGCTCATCTGAAAGCATCAGCAGCAGCTTTTGGTAATGGGGAGGGGGTCAGCTCTAGTGCTACTAATCTCCAGGTGAGCGCCTACAGGGCCTCACACCTGATGCCTCCTAGGGCACCTTCTGGAATTCCTCGTAGAATATACCCACAGGCC